TACCATTTGACCCAGCCATCCCATTACTGGGTATATGCCCAAAGGATTATAAATCATGCTGCTGTAAAGACACATGCACACATATGTTTATTGTGGCACTATTCACAATAGCAAAGACTTAGAACCAACCCAAATGCCTATCAATGATAGACTGGATTAAGAAAATGTGGCACATATACACCATGGAATACTATGCAGCCATAAAAAAGGATGAGTTCGTGTCCTTTGTAGGGACATGGATGAAGTTGGAAACCATCATTCTGAACCAACTATCGCAAGAACAGAAAACCAAACACCGCATGTTCTCACTCGTAGGTGGGAATTGAATAATGAGAACAATTGGACACAGGAAGGGGAACATCACACACTGGGGCCTGTCGTGGGTTAGGGGGAAGTGGAAGGGATAGCATTAGGAGATATACCTAATGTCAATGATGAGTTGATGGGTGCAGCACACCAACATGGCACATGTATACACATGTAACAAACCTGCACATTGTCCACATGTACGCTAGAACTTAAAGTATAATAAAAAATTTTTAAAAAGGAAAAAAATTTTCCAGTGTTCTGAAAATAAATTTTCTGACCATTTTTGGCCAGTTTTTTCCATGCTTTCACAAAGAAGAGAATTTGGGGAGGGTTTTTTTCTCCACCATTTTGACTGATGTCACATGCTGTACTCCTTTCAGCAAGCAAAAATCATCTTTAAGTAGGCTTTATCCTTTCATTTTGTTTTTTTGTTTTGTTTTGTTTTTGAACCAATTCTCATAATAGTAGGGATATTTGGTGGGAAAATCCACAGCAAACTTTATCAATTGAGTTCTGATGTTCCTCTCAGGTAATGTTACTAGGGTGAAGAAATGTCAGTCTCATGTGGAAAGTCTATCTTCCATCATTTATACTGGCAGTGGTTTGCATTTTGGGTAAGAAAAATCACATAAAAATGAAAAGATAACCTTTGTCTTTAGAGATAGCAGGAATGCAACTAGCTCACACTTTTTCTAGGTCTTCTGTGATCATCAGCTGCTCAGGAATGTGCAAGGGGTGTGCATCATAAGATAAGGGAAAAGATAAACCAAGTAGTGTAACTGGGAAGCCACCACATCAGTTTTCTGTCACAAAAACCAAGCAACATAAGCTCTTGATTTAAACTGTAGGTAACTGCCAAGAACCAGTAACAAGATTATATCATTGATTTTACTTTGTATAAAAATAAGATGGGAAAAACTATGATTTGCTTTTGTTTTACAACTATTAATATTATGTTAAATATATGTTGTGGTAATTGAATAGGAGTGTCCTAGAGGCTTAATACGGAATGATATGGTAACACTAGTAGAAAAAATTACTTGTTTCCTGCAGAAACAACATTCTAGTCACAAGCTTGTTTAGAAATCCTTACTCACTAGGTCAGTGTTTCTCAAACGGTAGTTTAAGGACCACCTGCATTCAAATTATTTGAAGGGCTTGCTACAAATGCAGATTTCTGGTTCCACCCCAGAACTATAGAATAGCGAGGGTTAGTCCTGGGGACATACATTTTAGCTTATTAAGGTTTCTAGGTAGAGACTTTTTACTATAATTTTTAAAACTCCTTTACTGAGGTATAATGACACGATAAACCACACATATTTAAAGTGTACAATTTGATAAGTTTTGACATCTGTATATATCTGTAAGGCATCACCACAGTCAGGATAATGAACATGCCTATCATCCGCAAAGGTTTGTTCACACTCCTTTGCATTCCCTTCCTCCTGCCCCTCCCTCACCCACCCCAGGTGATGACCGATCTCCTTTCTATCACTAGAGGTTAGTTTGCATTTTCTAGAATTTCATAAGAGATAATACAGTATGTACTTTTTTTTGGTCTGGCTTCTCTCCTTGGCATATTTATTCTGAGATTCGTCTATGTTGCATTTTGTAAACAATAGTACATATTTTGGTTGTTGCTGAGTAGTATTTCATTGTTTGGCTAGACCCCATTTTCTTTATCTATTTACTTGTTAATGAACATCCGATTTGTGTCTGCTTTGGGGCCATTTTGAATAATGCTGCTATGAACATGCAAGTAAAAGTCTTCCTGTGGACATGTGTTTTTATTTCTCTTAGGTAAATACCTAAGAGTATAATGGTTTGGCCATATGGTAGGTGTATGTTTAATTTTTAGGAAATTTCTAATTACTTTCCAAAGTGATTATACCATCTTCCATTCCCATAGTAATGTATGAGAATTCCACTTGTGCCATGTCCTCACCAATTCTTGGTATTGTCAGTCTTTAAAATTTTCAGATTTCTAATAGGGGCATAGTGGTATGTCATTAAGGTTTTAATTTGCTTTTCTCTAGTAACTAATGGTTGAGCATCTCTTTATGTGCTGCTTTGCCATCTTTATATCTTCTTTGGTGAAGTGTCTGTTCAAATCTTTTGCTCATTGTTTTATTATTATTGAGTTTTGAGAATTTTTATGTATATCCTAGATACATGTCCTTTTAATGCTTTGTAAATATTTTCTTTTAGTGTGTGGCATATTTTTCTCCTAAGAGTAACTTTTGAAGAGCAAAAGACTTTAATTCTTATAATATTTAATTTTAAAATTGTATGGAGCATGCTTTTGGTGTCCTGCCTAAGAAATCACTATCCAAATGCCATAAAGATTTCCTCCCTATGTTTTCTTCCAGAAGTTTTATAGTTTTACATTTAGGTCGCTGATCCATTTTGGGTGTTGGTTTGTTTGTTTGTTTGTTTCTGTTTTTGATTTGTATGTGGTGTGAGGTATGGATCAAAGTTCAGTCCTTTGCATATTGATGTTCTAGTTTTTCCATTGCCAGTTGTTAAAAACACTATTCTTTCTCCAACTGACTATTTATGTAGGTGCATCTATTTCTGGATGCCTGATTCATTTCCATTGATTTATTTGTCTACCTTGACATCAGTCCCTCACTATCTTGGTTACTGCTGCTTTCTGATAAGTCCTTGACATCAGTCCCTCACTATCTTGGTTACTGCTGCTTTCTAATAAGTCTTAAAATGAGGTAGTTAGAGTCCTCTAATTTTGTTCTTCCTTTTTAAAGTTGTTTTGATTATTCTCTGTCCTTTATACTTCTATATATATTTTAGAATCTGCTTGTCAACTTCTCAAAAAAACTAATTGAGATTTTGATTAGGATTATGTAAAACCTCTAGACCAATTTGGTGAGAATTGACTTCTTAACAATATTAAGCTTAATCTAAAATTTAAATTCTAACTGACTCCCCTGCTGCCTTCCTGGCCCTGCAGAAAAAGAAAAGTTTGTTATGAAGATATGACATTTATTCAGTTGACAATTCAGAAAGAGATTTCTCAAGCCCTCCTTAAGACCTGCACTGTGCTCTCTAGGTTGTGACAGGAATGCAAAAATCTAGATAAGAAGCAAAACCAGGCCCTAGCCTGTAGTTTAGATAAAAAGAAAAACACTACTGAACTGAAAGGCCCAGTGGTGTTGTACCAGCCCCTTCCTTTTACAGATGTGCAAGCAGAGGGTCAATTTTACACAACTTATCCGCAGCAGAACGGAGTCTCCTGAGCCTAGTACACCAAGTAGGGTCTGATGAAATGTCTCTGTGAGTGATGCAAATGGCAAGGGCTCTAAGAATTCAGAGAGGGCCCACAGTGGATGGTGAGTGAGTGGGAACCAGGGCCCTGGGCTGAACCAGGAGCAGAATGCAGACTCAGGCTCTCTGGATACCCTTGAGGGTATCCAAGCAATGTTGAGAAGATGGTGTCCCAGGTTCCAAGATCAGGAATATCAGGACTGTCAGTACCTTATGCCTGCTGAGCACTTTACAAAGCTCTGACATATAAACATTATCTCCTAGATTCATTTTTACACCATCCTACAACACCTTTCAACCTTTGTGGATTGTTAAGCATAATAACCCTATACACTGGCCAAAGCATAGAGTGACCTCAGGGCCATGGGTGAGAGGAAGGACAGTGGGAGCCAATGAGGGATTTAGAGAGAGGGCCTCTCAGAGATAACCAGGCAGAAGAGGACATTGTACCCAGGTGTTATGGAGTCAGCTAGGGCTTGGGCAGGGAAGAGAAGCGTGTCACTGATGGGTGAGATACAGCAGCACAAGAAGCTGAGGAGGGAGGCAGGCACTGAGGTTTGGGACAAGCTCCTCAGCTGTGGCATGACTACCTATGATCGGGAGGTGTAGGGAGACTGCGGGGAAAGGTCAGGCCCCACCCGGAAGGGTGCAGGAGCAGGTAGTGCTGTGGGTGGGATACAAGGCAAAGCCCCAGTCCTGGCAGAAATCAAGGCTATGATCCCATCCTAGCAACTGGGCAACATGTGCCAGTCACATCGGTAGTAAAAGGTAGGCCCAGGAACCTTGAAAATCACAGAGCTGCCTTGAAGTGAGCACATTCAGTGATGATCTGGAGCCTAGCCTGGGACAGTCAGGAATAGGGTGGAAGGAAAAAGACTGAGATGGCCTCAAATATCAGGCCAAGAAATTTGGCTTTTATGCCATGGGAGGCAGTGGGGGGCCTCTGGAGGTTGAGATCTGGTGTTATGCTCATACCTGGGACAACACTTTAGTAAAGAATGTGACTCTTATCGCTCTCCCAGGGACTCATGATTTTTTCCCTCATCAAGTCACAGAATTTGGGCTCACATGGAAAAAAATCAGCATTTGATGGGTACACTGTTTATTCTTTAATTCAGTATTAATGGAGCTAACCGTAGAAACTTGGATGGACCCGGAATCAATGCATGCAGGAAACTCAGCAGGATGGGCTAGAGACGTGGGGGAGGATGCCAGGACCACGTGAGCCCAGGGACTGCAGCAACGTTTTCTGAATTCCTGGGAAAATAAGATCAAGACCTACACACCTTTATATATTTTTATAGTATTCTCTGTATGCATATATGTGTATTTAAAAATCAATATGTAAAATCAATTCAAATTAGCTTAAAGTTGAGAGTGCTGTTTTTTGTTTTTTTAAATTTTAGACCAAGGAAATCCACAGTTTGAAATAAGCACAAGGTGAGTACTGATTTTTTTATTTTAAAGATGTGTCAGATGCTTTGGATGTTTCATATTGAGTCCATGTCATTGCTTTTATTGCTTTTCTTCCCCCAACACTTGGCTTATTACAAGGGATTTCCAATTTTTAAAAAATACTGGCCGGGTGCAGTGTCTCATGCCTGTAATCCCAGCACTTTGGGAGGCCAAGACAGATGGATTGCTTGAGCCCAGGAGTTTGAGACCAGCCTGGGCAACATGGTGAAACCCTGTCTCTAACAAAAAAATACAAAAATTAGCCTAGGGTGGTGGCGCAATTTTAGTCCCAGTTACTCGGGAGGCTGAGGTGGGAGGATCACTTGAGCCCAGGAGGTCAAAGCTGCAGTAAGCCTAGATCACATCACTGCTCTCTAGCCTGGGTGACAGAGCAAGAGCCTATCTCAAAAATAAATAAATAAGTACATATATATGTAAATAAATATAAAACATTAAACAATAAATCAGTTCCCAACCCCACTGCTAGCCTAGGATATTAAATCAATTCCCAACCCCACTGCTAGCTAGGATATCTTTTCTGGTGCACACTTGCTGTATTGCCAGTTGAGGTAGATCTGCCAGTTCAAAACCTTTCCTAATTGTCCTTGCTTTTGGCTGTTTGCTTGAGTTTTCTATTCCATTCCTATTTTCACAAGGCTGCCCTGCCTCCTACTTTGCTGAGTGGGCCAACGCACCCTCTGATGTTACCTCCCCCGGCTTTCCCCTCTCCACTCAGAACTCTCCTGATCATCTTCCTTTCTTTATTCCCCCTTGTCTGGGAGGAAGGTGTGCTCAGACTTCTTTCACGGTTAAGTTCTCACTGGTGCTCCTTGCCCCATCTATTACTGTGGCTTACAAACCTCTTCGTCTATAATTCCTCTTCCTGCCCAAAGCACTCAGGGATACTCAATATGTTTGTTGAAAACACCTGTCTACTGTGATCCAGTTCTGATACAGGAGTCTGCTTAGTTTTTCTAAGCTCATTTGGCCCGATCCTTGTGGAACCCACCCAGACCCTAACCCAAAAAGATGAGAGAAGTGGAAAAGGTGAGGGCTCTAGAAAGCAGCTGTTTCTACCCCTCCTCTTTGCCCCCACACTCTTACAGAGTACTCTATTGCAGCGTTTAATATGCTATAATTTTATTGTGTGTTTACATTTTCTCCCTACTAGATCATGAATTCCTTTAGGGCATGGAGGTTGTCTTATTAGTTTTAGCTTCCCTCAGGCCTCATCTACCAGTGCCAGGCACTTTTGTAGGTGCTCAGTAAATATTTAGTGAATAAACAAATGAAAGCACTCATTGAATAATCAGACAAGGCCAGCAAACCACTCTGCAAGCAAGGCCGGAGGTTTAGCTCAGGCATATCTTATTCCTCTTGGACCTCCAATGCTTAGTAGGTGTTTATTCACTGGATTCGTCTAACGCAAAAGAGTTACTATCATAGTTGGCATTTCGGGTCAATAAAGAGGAAGGAGGGAGCTGTAGTGAGCCAGTGAAAACACTTTTGAGAAGACAAAGGTGATTCTTCCTCCTCACCTCTCCCCTCTTTAAGATTTGTAGCCATGTAATCCCAGCACTTTGGGAGGCCAAGGTGGGTGGATCACAAGGTCAAGAGATCGAGACCATCCTGGCCAACATGGTGAAACCCCGTGTCTACTAAAAACACAAAAATTAGCTGGATGTAGTGGCACATGCATGTAGTCCCAGCTACTCGGGAGGCTGAGGCAGGAGAAGGTGTCAACCCAGGAGGCAGAGCTTGCGGTGAGCAGAGATCGCGCCACTGTACTCTAGCCTGGGCAACAGAGCGAGACTCCGTCTCAAAATAAATAAATAAATAAAAGAAAGAAAGAAAAAAGATTTGCAGCCAATTAGATGTTTGCTGTGTAATCCAACAAGACGTGTCCTTTGGACATTTCCTTACTGCATATCACCTACCGAGCTGAGGCAGGCCTTCAACTACAGGTAAGGGAAGAGCAGCAGGTCCTCGAGACCTAGACCAGAGATACACTAGGTGAGCCAGTGCTACTCCAACTGGTGGGGGAGGGATGCATGTGTTATTCCTTCCAGTGACTCAATGTTCATGTTTATTTCTCTAAAAGCAAAGGCAATGGAGCGGGATGCGGACCATGGATTGAAAACATGGAAAGAGCTACCACTAGCAAAGAAGACCCAGCCTCCAGCCCAGGAGGGATTAAAGGTAGGGAGGGTCCTGTGGGAGAGTGGAGCACAGAAGCAGTGGGGTGATACCAGCTGCTTAGATGCTAAGGAAGACATCACCTAGGGCCCAGCCCTTCTTTAGTTAAATGAGGGAGAAAAAAGAAAGCATTTTACCACCATGTGGTTTAAAATCGATTTCCTGCTATTCATTTGTGTAGAACAAATGGGGCCAGAATTAACATGAAGGCAAATGCCTCACGTTGAGAAGGTAGATGCACCCCCTTATCCACAGTTTCACTTTCCAGATTTTAGTTACTGTTAGTCAACTGCTGTCCAAATATCTAATGGAAAATTACAGAAATAAACAATCGGTGAGTTTTAAATGATATGCCATTCTGAGTAGTGCGATGAAATCTGGTGCCTTCTGCTGTGTCTTGCTTGGGACATGAATTATCCCCTTGCCCAGGGTGTCCCTACTGTCTGTGCTCCCCACCCCACCAGCCTTGGTCACTTATAACCATCTTGGTGATTAAATCGACTGTTAGGATCATAGTGCTTGTGTTCAAGTCACTCTTACTTTACTTCATAATGGCCCCAGGCCAGGCGCAGTGGCTCACACCTGCAATCCCAGCACTTTGGGAGGCCAAGGTGGGTGGATCACCTGAGGTCAGGAGTTCAAGACCAGCCTGGCCAAGATGGTGAAACCTCGTTTCTACTAAAAATACAAAAATTAGCCAGGCGTGGTGGTATGTGCCTGTAATTCTAGCTACTCAGGAGGTTGAGGCAGAGAATTGCTTGAACCTGGGAGGTGGAGGTTGTAGTGAGCCGAGATGGTGCCACTGCACTCCAGCCTGGCCGACAGAGCGAGACTCTGTCTGAAAAAAAATAAGTAAATAAATAAATAAAATAAACAATGGCCCCAAAGCACAGTCGTGATGCTGGAAATTCAGATATGCCAAAGAGAAGCCGTCAGATGCTTCCCGTAAGTGAAAAGGTAAAAGTTCTTGATTTAACAAGAAAGAAAAAAATCACATGCCGAAGTTGCTAAGATCTATGGTAAGAAGGAATCATCTATCCATGACATTGTGAAAAAGGAGAAAGAAACTTGTACTCGTTTTGCTGTCGCATCTCAAACTGCCAAAGTTTACAGCAGCAGTACTAAGATGAAAAAGGTGTTAAATCTGTGGGGGTGGAAGGCAAATAGAAACATGCTCCCACTAATGGCAGTCAAGTTTGGCACTCTCTGGGGTTTCAGGCATCCACTGGGGATCTTAGAAGTAGCCCCTGAGGATAAAGGGGGACTACTGTACATGTCATTATAAATATGTCCAAACCCAAGGAATGTACAACACCCCAGAGTGAACCATGATGTGAGCTACGGACTTTGGGTGAATATGATATATTAAGGGTATAGGTTCATCCATTGTAACAAATGTGCCTCTCTGGTGGGGAATGGTGATAGTCAGGGAGGCCATGCATGTGTGAGCACAGGGGATATATGGGAAATCTTCATACTTTCCTCTCAGTTTTTCTGTGAACCTAAAACTGCTCTAAAAAAATAAAGTCAGTTGGGTGCGGTGGCTCACGCCTGTAATCCCAACACTTTGGGAGGCCGAGGTGGGCAGATCACCTGAGGTCAGGAATTGAAGACCAGCCTGGCCAACATGATGAAACTAAAAATACACAAAATTAGCTGGGCATGGTGGCACATGCCTTAATCCCATCAACTCGGGAGGCTGTGGCAGGAGAGTCGCTTGAACCCAGGAGGCAGAGGTTGTGGTGAGTCAAGATCGCACCATTGCACTCCAGCCTGGGCAACAAGGGTGAAACTCCTTCTCAAAAAATAAAATAAATAAAGTCTTCTAAAAAAGGTTTTAAAATAAACCACATATACAGTATTATAGTAGAGCGTACTGACAGCCTGCCCAGACCCTCTTTACAGGCTGTTGGCCCCATGTCTCCGCTGCTATGAGGTTAGCTGACAATGGCTCACAGCCGTGCCCTCCAGACAGTTGCCCTCCGCTGCCCAGGGCTGTCCAGCCAGGAAATGCCTGTGAGATTATGTCCTCCCCTAAGGGTGGCTTATGGCCCACCAATGCTTACTGATTCAGGGTACAGAAGCCAGTCCTTCTGTCTCAAGATGGTAACCTGCGGTGCCATCCATGCTCCAGCACTGCCCAGGGGATCAGGCTGATGCTAGACTTCCACTAAGCCCACGTCTGTGCCTGGCTTCTTCCCTGCCCTAGCTTCGGCCTCACTGTCTTCCAGGTTTCATCTGAAAGCCCTTTGTCAATAACACACTTGCATAGTCTCCTTCTGGGAACCTGACTGAAGACCGTTAGTACCAGGAGGGGTCCCAGAATGGATGGGATTCTGGTGTTGGCTTACTGCAGTCCAAATGGCCACGAGGACCTCATTATTGGTGTTAAGTGGAGTGTTGAGAGTCCTGGGGCCTTGGCCTGCTGTATCAGTTCAATTGCTCAGACCTTCATCTGTGGTGACCTGGGATCAGATACAGGTGGATGGGGATATGCCAGCTGGTGCAATGTCTCTAACATTTGAGAGCTTTGAGGAAAATATTATCTATCAGGAAGGTAGAGTTGGGAGGCTGTTGCTAAGAGCCTCCCGTTGATGCACTGAAGAGAGAAAGTAACAGGGTCAGACTAATTACCAATTTAAAACACAGGATCAGAATCAGGGGGCCTCCCTACCAACATTTAGCCTCTCATCTCCTATAGCAGAGGCAGACTGGGCTGGTAAAAGTGGCAGAATTTGAGAGAAGGAAAAATGCTCAGTCTAGGCAAGTCTGCCATCTGAATATTTTGGATTCCTAGTGCCAGTAGATGAGCAGGCAAAGTCAGATCCTGAGAGGGAAGATAAGGGACCGAAAAACTGGGAATGAGGACATCTGGGTAAATGCCCTTGACCTCCCGGGCTGGCAGCAGTGGCCTACTCCGCCTTATACTACAAAGTACAGCCAAGGACCAACTGTAGCAGCAGGTGGCAGCCATAGATTTAGTTAAGTAGGATTCTTGCTGTGTTCCCTAGTGGAACTGTCTCCCTTGGGTCCTGTCCCTTAAGGAGTACCTCCTCCTGATGACCAGGACCCATTTCTCCTTCCAGTGTGGTAACTGCTCTCTTTGCCTGTTGGTCTCCTGGCATGAGGACAAAGAGATAGGATTCCTCATGCCAGTAGGGCTAGGGCCTGGCTAGGGGAAAGGGAGAAGCTGAGATTCACCTAAGATTGTTCCCTGTCCCCTAAGACTATGCAGAAGCCTCAGATGAGGCATACAAGGCAATGTTTGCCCTTCTGAAGATCTGTCCCCGCCTCCCTTCCTGAACCATTCCAGAACAACCACTAGGATCAAATGACAACATGACCTGACTGGAGAAGGGGCACACAGGCCTGTGGGGGTGAACTCAAAATGTGAGAATCTTTGAACTGTGCTTTAATGCCCACTAAAGAAGGTGCATAGCAGAAGTCCAGTTAGTCCACTTCCTCTTAGGCACCCCAGTGCCTGCACCACGGGCTCGGAAATGGAGAAGCCTTGGTAGTAGAATTGAACCTGTGCTCGGCCCCAGCAGCGAGGGCTCCATGTCTTCAAGACTGCGCTAGCTGCTACCGCTACCACTGTTAAATGTCCAACTTGCCAGCAGAGGTCAGTGCTGAGCCCCCAGTTTGGTACTGTCCCTTGAGGAGACAAGTTGATTTTATCGGACCCCTTCAAGCTAGAAAGTACAGTGTGTGACCAACCATATAGCGTTACTTTTTATTTATTTTTTTTTTGAGATAGCATTTCACTCTTGTCGCTGGAGCTGGAGTGCAATGGCGCCATCAGGGATCACTGCAACCTCCACCTCCTGGGTTCAAGTGATTCTCCTGCCTCAGCTTTCTAAGTAGCTGAGATTACAGGCTCATGCCACCACATCCAGCTAATTTTTGTATTTTTAGTAGAGAAGACAGGATTTCACCATGTTGACCAGGCTGGTCTTGAACTCCTGACCTCCAGTGATCCATCCACCTCGACCTCCCAAAGTGCTGGGATCACAGGTGTGAGCCACCGCGCCCGGCTGTATAACATTGCTTTGATCAGGGGACTCAGTATGGCAAAAGAGAATCAGCTATGGACATGTGATCACAGGACACAGTCTTACCCTCGCATTCTGAAGCTGGCAGCCTGATAGTAGTGGGACAGCCTCTTGAAAGTGAGGTGGGGCGGGAGTTTGGATGTGGCACTGTGGGGATGGAGTGCTGTCCCTCAGGATGCAGCATACAACTGAACCAATGGCTGTTTTATGGTGTCATGCCCCCAGGAGGCAGAGTATATGAATCTGGAGTCAAGAAGTCAAATGAGTTGTGATCTTGCCCATGATGACTCCAGTGATGCACATGGGGACACTTTTTTCTCCTCATGTCTCCAACTTTAACCTCAGTGGGTCTCGACAAGGGAGACACTTCCACTAGGGAACACAGCAAGAATCCTACTTAACTCGATCTATGGCTGCCACCTGCTGCTGCAGTTGGTCTTTGGCTGTGCCTTGTAGCCATTCTCTCCCTCCTACTCATTCTAGACACCCCTCTCCCCATCTGGCACTTCTGCTGGTGGCATGCAGAGTGAGGGTCCTAGACTTTTATCAGGCTATGGTTCTTGGACTTGGCCATCATAGTTACAGCTGGGCATGGGAGTATTCCGAGATGTCTTAGTGGATCACCTGAGCATCAGACATGTCCCTCTCTGCCTCTGTTAAGCAGCAGCCCCACCTCCTCACGACGACCAGGACCCGTTTCTCCTTCCAGTATGGTAACTGCTCTCTTTGCCTGCTGGTCTACAGACAGGCGGGGAAAGGGAAAGGATTCCTCGTGCCATCTGGGATGGGGTCTGGCTAGGGGAAGGGAAGAAGGTAAGATTCACCTAAGGACCTACACAATTTCTGGATGGGACAGTCAGCAGACAGGTGGGTGTGCTGTTTTGAGTGCTGTTGGTTAACCAGCCTCTTTCTGGCAGCTTACGGTGAAAATAAAGGATGTAAGCTAATACT